TTCCTTCCTTCCTTCCTTCCTTCCTTCCTTCCTTCCTTCCTTCCTCTCTCTCTCTCTCTCTCTCTCTCTCTCTCTCTCTCTCTGTCTTTCTTTCTTTCTTTCTTTCTTTCTTTCTTTCTTTCTTTCTTTTTTCCTCCCTTCCTCCCTTCCTCCCTCATCACCACCTTTCCCACTAAGACTCAAGGTAGAGGATATAATATATAGTATAAGTCAAAGGCAATCAACAGGATGGGACATCCGATGGACAGTGCAATAGGGTTTGGACTACCAGCATCTGAAAACAAGCAGAAACCTAAAATGGAGCTGAAACAAACTTGAAATAAAGCTCGAGTATATAAACACGACACTTTAAATAGTAGAAAAAACTATTTAGTTGGATCATACTTACAGTGATAGGCAGCAATACAGCAGTATAGGCCACAACTCTACCCTTTCCCAATGTTACTTTCTGCACCATTACATTACAGTACAGTACCAGTGCGAAAAAAGCCCTCTCAACTAATTCCATTTTGGATAGTATGCAGAAAGCCAAGAGAGGGGAAGCCTTCTTAACAACACCTGGTGGGTCATTCCATAAGGTGGGAGCCACAAAAGTGGGGAATAGTGGTGATCTCAGCCTTATCAATACCACACATTGGGTAACAAGTTGAATGGAGAAGTATGTTGAGCAAAGTCCAGCATGGAACACACTAGAAATCAAGATCCCCATTGAATCTGGAATAGTGGTCACAAGCTGTAAATGATTACCACCTTATGTGCAATGGCAATTTCTTCAACTTATTGACTAGCTTAGAGCATAAGAACACAAGAGAAGCCATGTTGGATCAGGCCCAACACTTTGTGTCACACAGTGGCCAAAACCCAGGTGCCATCAGGAGGTCCACCAGCAGGGTCAGAACTCCAGAAGCCCTTCCACTGAAGCCCCCCAAGTACCCAGAAGACAGGGCGTCACTGTCCCCAGACATAAGAACCTAAGAGAAGCCATGCTGGATCAGGCCAATGACACATCCAGTCCAACACTCTGTGTCATTCAGTGGCCAAAACACAAATGCCACCAGGAGGTCCACTAGCAGGGCCAGAACTCCAGAAGCCCTCCCACTGTTGCACCCTCCAAGCACCAAGAATACAGAGCATCGCTGCCCCAAACATAAGAACATAAGAGAAGCCATGTTGGATCAGTCCAATGATCTATCCAGTCCAACACTCTGTGTCACACAGTACCAAAACCCAGGTGCCATCAGGAGGTCCAGCAGTAGAGCCAGAACTCCAGAAGCCCTCCCACTCTTGCCCCCCAAGCACCAAGAATACAGACCATCCCTGCCCCTGACAGAGTATTCCATCTATACCTTGTGGCTAATAGCCACTGATGGACCTCTGCTCCATATGTTTAGTGTTGAGGGACAGACTAATTTATGGTTTTATATCTGCTTACACAAAGCAACAAATGGACTGTGCACACACTTGTATACCATGAGCCTAGAGGAAGCTGTTTGCATCACCTACTGTGAGAGAGAGGTTTCACATAGGAAACGCTTGCCTGCATTTTATGTTAATGAAGCTTGCACACATTCAGCTCAAGGCATTATGGGAAGGAGAAGCACATGTTAGCCATTGTGGAGCAGAACCACAACTAAGAGAAGGAAATTCCACCATTACTGAAAAGACAGATGTCACGGAGAACATGTACCTGATATGCATCTGAATTGCAGTTTCCTGTTTACAATGCCTTGGCAGCCTGGTAAAGCCAAGATTCATCTCCACAACAAAGAGATTTCCTGAAGCAGAGATTTCACACCTGGCCAAATGGTATTCCATGAGATAGTGTGTAGTATTTCAAATATTGGCCCACCCCATAAAATACCTGCCCCTTTCCACATGCACCAATGAGGAAGAGTCATGAGATGGACTTGTAGGTAGGTGGGATTACAGAGTGGCAAGGTGCCACCCACCTAGAGATTCAACTATATAACACAAGGACCATGCTTTAAGTCCTGGGCCAGCCACATTCCACCATCAACGCAAGACCATGCTTCAGGCTGGCCACATTCTACTACCCCCCTCCTTCCTGCTTTAAGATTTTTTGTCTTTACTGGATCTCTTTGGGATGCGCAGCCAAAGAGATCCATCCACACACTAGCTAGCTGGTTCTGGCAGTGTGAATTAGAAACTACCCCTAGACCCATTCCTTAGCCTCCAATTTTCCCTTGCAAAAGACAAAACCTCTGGAACAGGCAAGTATGAACCGAAATAAGTACCTTCCTACCTCCAAGTAACTAAGTATTTTTATATCTTTCTGTAACTCTAAAGGAACTTGAATGCATGTGAATTGAGAGAGTGATGTTTTTGTATGTGTGATTTTGATAGCCTTCAGTAAAAAGAATATTTGTTTTGGAAAAAACACCCGCGTAGTCTCCATTACTGGAATTCTGAGTGCAAACACAACCTCGGTATAGCTGGCCTGAACTCACATTAAAAATTATAGTTCACCATCTGCTACAGATAAAGCAACTGACGTAACATTAGCTTGCACCAAAATATATGTCGCAGCAAGCAGAGAGAGTGACAGGAATGTCCTCCATTTGGAGATATTCCCTACCAAGCATGATGGAATCACTGGGTATTTTTGTGCTCAGCGTTTCCACTCTCTGCTTAATGACACTGTTAAGAGTACCACTGTATCCCTGCCCATACGCCAGAATCCCTCTGTATTTTTTATGATCCTTTATATTGTCTCCTTGAAACCAAGAGGTATATGTGTGGGAATCCTTCCAGTTGTCCCTTCTGACCCAATGGTCAAGCCCTTAGGTCCGTAAATACTCATGTGAACTCCAGGTCAATACTAGGAAAAGAGAGTAAGCAATTTTTGACCCAAGAGTTCACTTCTGATTGGCTAAGAAGAAAGAGGATAAAAAAGCAAGAAAATAGGCAATTTCAAATTGTATGCAGTAGTACTGCTCCATTGAGTGAACATTAGTGAAATCTAGAGGAATCCCACCTGCAGACAGCAGAGCTCACCCATTTGTTGGCTGAATAAGTAGTGTCACTTCAATAGAGCATCCTGACACCAAGGTTTTCACACCTGCCCAGATGTCCTCATTTGAGTAAGGTTTTAGATTGCAATATTGACCACTCCTTATAGGCAACCTCCCACTCCTATAGGCAACCAATAGGATTGTTTTGGGACAGACTAACAGGTAGGTGGGTCCACGGGTTGGAACAGTTACCTCCCCCCTAATGGATCCACTATAAAAGGTAAGGACCATTCACCTGGCCCTTCCTAGCTAGCATTCCCCGCAACACCCCCTGTCTGCTTTATACTCCCCTTGAGTCCCACTTGCTATCCCCAAACCCTTGCCTCTACTTTGATCTCTTGATCTGCAGTCAAGAGACCCACACGTTCTGGCTGGTTCTAGTCGTGTGTGAATTTTCCCTAGATTTCTATTTCTTCCCATCCATTCTTCATTGGAACAACCAAGCTGCGAAGACAGATAAGTATCACCCATCATCACCCCCACCTGCTAATGCAACTGTGCTTATTTTAATACTGTATCTCTAAGGAACTGACTGAATGTGTGAGTGCATCAGTATTGTTTGTATATAATATATTTTCTTAAGTAAAATACATTTATTTTAACTACAACAGCCTCAAATCCTTCTCTGGTAACCCTTGGTGGGAACAGGACCTTGGTATAGTTGGCAAGGACCCATTTATAAACTGCCAATTGCTGTAAATAAAGCAATTCGGCTAACTTAACAACAGAGCATAGAGGCTGAGACCTTCCTTTATGTTGCCTCCAGAGGTTTACTGCCCCTGAATGTGGAGGTTTCATTTCCTTCCCCATCCCGATGTAGGAAGAGTACTGATGGAGATACAGAGACAGGTACTCATGGAAGAAAGTTTTGGGGTTGGTGCAGAGAAGAAAAGAGCAGTGTTGTTGACCAACAGTGGGGTGAGGATATCCTTGAGGAGAAGCTGATTAAGTGTGGGCTGGATGGTGCAACCGTTGGATGGATTCATGGTTGGTTGAAAAATCGTACCCAACGAGTGCTTGTAAATGGTCTGTGTCTACATGGAGGGAAGTCTCAAGTGGAGTGCCGCAAGGCTCGGTCCTCGGCCCAGTGTTGTTCAATGT